GAGTATTAGAAAAAGCGAAAAGAATATTTAGAAAGGAAATAAATTGAAAAGAGAAAAAGGGTGTGGTGCACGCAATCATCTGAGCTCAAGTAAGTACTCCTAAATTACCCATACAAGTTATGATTATCAGTTTTAGTTCCAGTTTCAGTTTCAGTAGAACAGCATGCTAGTATAGGACTAAGGATGTAGGAGGATGCCTTATGTGCCTGGTTATGTGTTTCAGCCTTATGAGAATTGCATGCTAGTATTGAGTAGACAATAGTAGGATAGCCTGTTTAGGTTATGCCTGATAGTATGAGTTCAACATTGTATGCTAGTATAATTTCTTGAGAATAGTTTGCATGAGTATGTTTCCTTTATCCGAATGCTGCTTGCTTTGTGCTTAGTGGGACTCAGAGTGATGGGAGTTAGCCATTAGGTGAATACATCACGTTACATGTGGTCAGGATTGGATAAACTCAGAGTGTCAGATTTGACCCTATTGCGCAGCTCTCGTTTGAGTCTAACTGTTGTAGGGATGAGTCTTGTACTCGAAGGATTATCCGAGCTTCATTGCATGTGATGGTATTCAGGTAGTGGATAATTGGCATTGCAAGGAGGCCTTCAGTAGCTTAGGAATGGTTTGGGTGGAGTCAAAGGTTCCCTAGGGCAAGCCTAGGATGAGAGTAGCAAAGATTAGCAATAGAGAAAAGGGACTTGGTGGAGTTGAGGTAACTCTTGAGGAAAGTACGGATAGATGTGGAAGGTAGTATGGGCCCGTACTACTGAAAGCATAGGATCTGTACTCCATTCAAGAGGGGCCGAGGCAAAACCAAGGAACTAGTAAAGTGTGTGAAAGATCCCTCAGCAGCGGTATGTATATTGATCAGATTTGTGATGTGTTTCCAGCACGGTGACGTTGCGTGAGATATCAGTTAGCAGTTCAGGTGCCGGGAAGGATCTGGCTCAGGCTCCAGAGCTGGACAGTTTGATGATCATATGAGAGATGTTATTTCTGCAGAGATTATACGCAACATCATTGATCAGACTCCCGTGATATTTTGTTCAGTTAGAGAGGCCATTATGGAGCTTTTGGACAGTTGTCTTGAGGCCTTTAGGACCGGGATAGTTTCAGGGCAGTTTGGGGCTCGTCTAGAGCCCGATTCTTATGGAGTTCAGGGATCCATCAGGGAGGGAGATCCCATTTTTAGCTCTTGCCATCAGGGGACAGGAGTGAGCGGGGCACCCTGTCTCCAAGAGAGAACTCTGCATGATTGGATAGTCAAGGAGGTTGCACAAGCCATTCACGAGGAGCTGCCCAACATCGTTGGAAGGGTCACTGGTAGGTTGATCGCGAAGCTCCAGGATCAGACAACAGTTGTTCAGTAGATGGATGGGGTCGACGAGGTAACGCATGAGCGAGATTCGGGCAGGGAGTCAGAAAGGAAGAGGAAAACGGATGAGACTCAGGTAGTCGCAGGTTTGGGCAAGAGGCCTAAGGGTCGGATTCGATATCAAGGGACTATCAGAGCCACAGTCGATGTGGGAAGTGTGGTAGGACACACGAGGGTGCGTGCAGGCGTAGAAGTGGTGGTGATGTTGGATGTTTCAAATGCGGCAGGATTGGCCATTTTAGAAGAGATTGTATTGTTACCATCGCTCAGGGGCTTGATCCGATATGTTTCCATTGTAGTCAGAGGGTCCACAAGAAGGCCCACTGTCCGAGTTTGTATACAGCAAGGCAGGTGCCAGCTCCTGCCCCTGGGACTTCGAGAACCACCAGCAAACATCAGGGTCGGGCAAGGGCGCCCACAGCTCGGAGCTGAGTTTTCCGGTTGATTTCAACAAGGATTCGAGCAGCACTAAATGATGGGGGTACATATCTTTTACCTTCCTGTCAATTATTATTCATGATATTATTGTTATGTTGCTACATTGTTATCAATAAGCATAAGTATTGGGGTATTATAGTACCTGCTTGTGACTAAGTTTTATGCCATCTGCATACCTTGGAATTAGAATGGTAAATTGGAGGTCGTCCCCTCTAGATCAGGTTACTTCAGATGCGGTGACTGTAGCATGTATGTGTAAGAATCAGTAATGCCTCACTACTTTCGAAAGGTATCATTCGGGATTGATCAATTAAATCCTTAGTAGTGACAATTTAGAGCTTCTAGTGAGGTAGCCAGCGAACAGTAAGGAAGTGGGTTGGGGATGTGCACCCCAAACCCAGGTTCTCAGGATGCAGTCCCTAAAGCAAATATAGTTAAGGATTGAAGGGTGCTTAGTTAGATAGCAAGAATGGTTTGGATCTGGTAAAAGTTAGTTGGAGCGCCGACAGAGGTAAACGTAGGCGGACAGCAGATCACCCTTTTAATGGACGAAAGGTTGGGGAATCCTTTCGACCAGTGAGCAATAAGGAGTTAGCCGGATCCAAGTGAGGGAGAACCCTCCGAGTATACAAGGGTAAGAGCACGCAGTTCCAGAATGAGTACACAACCTTTGAGAAGAAAAGATAGTAGTGTAGTGATTGATGGATTGAGGAGTTCAGAGTTGGGAGTTTGAGGAACCTCCCAACAATGAGTTCATATGATCGAGATGGTTAGTAGCTGGTTGGGAATTCAGGGTTATAGGACCACCTGTAGGACTCTAGTGAGTCGGAATGAGGATCTTGAGAACGGTTAGCAAGAGATGCTTTCGTGTTAGTAGTCAATGGCAGAGACGGCATGCAGGGTTGTGTGGATTCAGGAGTTGGGGGTTTTGGAAACTTCCCAACGATAGTTTCATGTATCCGGATTAGTAGACGGTTGGTTTGGTAACCAAGCTGAAGAATTCCTCGACGAATTGCTAAGTGTATCAAGGATATAAGATGTCGAGGTTGATGCAACATTCGATGACTGAAGGCTGGTTTTGAGAAATCAAGATGAGGAATCACTAGCAGGATTAGGGATAGTCAGGATGTCCTCGGAATACTAGTAGAGTGTTGTAAGTCTGCGGGGGTAGCCATAGCATTCACTAGCAGTCAAATAGTATTAGAGTGTTGTAAGTCTACAGGGGTAGCTGTAGCATTCACTAGCAACCAGATAGTATTAGAGAGTTGTAAGTCCGCGGGTGTAGCTGTGGCCTTTATCAGGTTGATAGGCAGCATGAGCGCGTTGTTGGACGCGGGGGAAGTAGTAGTACCCACCAGTTTGGGTGCAGCAGTGAGGATATGGGAATCCACGGGTTAGATTTCAGATTTCCCAAAAATGTTCAGTTATGGTTAAGTCGGCAATTTGTCAGTAGATCGTCACCTCAATTATGAGATCAGGGAAGTAGTGGACCGCTTGGGTTCGTGTATGTTAAGGGCTACCGTTAGTCTGGGAGCCACCATTTTTTGCCTTGGATTTGATGATGTCAGGATTCGACGTATGGACCCGGTCGGTTAGATTGGAAGGTTGTTAGAGTCACAGTGTCAGGATGACTAGTGGAAACTAGTTCCAGAGAAAGATTTCGTTCAGAAGTTGTGGGAGCAACTAAGTAAGGAGTCCTTGGGCTCCACAGTTGAGTTGGAACTCAGTGTTGCAGATAACCGATGAATGATTGGAGACCAGGAAGGTCTTGAGATGTTGTGGGAAGCAGGCATATAGTCAGTTCAGTGTTTCAGCCAGTTCAGTGCTTCAGCCAGTTTAGTGTTTCAGTTAGTTCATTGTTTCAGTCAGTTCAGTGTTTCAGCTAGTTCAGTGTTTTAGCCAATTTAGTGCTTCAGCCAGTCCAGTGTTTCAGGTAGTTTAGTGTTTCAGGTAGTGCAGTATTGCAAGCAGTTCAGTGTTTCGGATAGTTTCAGTGTGATGGCCAGTATCAGTATTTGTGTTGGAATTCAAGTGCTGATGGTATAGTTGGACGATTTGAAATGGAAAGTCCCTCTCAGCAGGATCAGTTGAGTCTTCTGCCAAGTATAAGTGATCTGCAAGGATAGTTAGGCAGGTAGCCTTTCTTTCTGGATGGAAGGCTCGAGTTATTGGAAGTTAACTAGTCAGATGAGAGATAAGCAGGCTGGTTCCAGCAACATCGATTCAGTATGAGTGGCAGAGTGGGTAGAACAGTTATAGGTAGTCGAGGTATCTTCAGAAGTCATTGAAAGCGACTAGGAGATTGCGATGGGGTGTAGTAACTGGTAGGAGTCCGGTAACCCAGATATGGAGACATCGGTAGGGACCAGGGTGGTCTCGGTTCATCTGGAAGGCAGATAAGGGACAACATAAATTTTCAATCAGTGGCAGTAATGGAAAGAAGACTATGGTAGAATTCGACTAGTTGATTGACTCAATACTAAGTAGCGAAAAGTGTCCAGTGCATAGCTAGTGGTAACCAGTAAGTGGGTTGTGAAATAGTTGGTCGTGGTGGACTTCGAGGACGAAGTCTAGTTCAAGTAGGGGAGAGTTGTAACACCCAGAATCAGGAAGACCAAGAAAAGAAACGTTAAGCTCTAAATCAAGAGTTAACTCATCGAGTCCAGGGAGGAACTCAACGAGTCGGAGCGGGATCCGCGTCATTGAGTAAGTGACCGACTCGGCGAGTCTGGTATGGGCGAGAAAAACCCTAATCCCAGAGGTTGTGCCCTATATAAAGCACATTATAACCCACCCTCAGCCTCTTTGATCCCCTTTTGAGTTCCAGAAACCCTAGATTTGAGTGAGCCTTCATTATTTGAGAGAATAGAGCCTTGGAGGAGAGAATCTTGGTGAGGGGCTTGAAAATCAAGGGATTTGCTGCAAAGGAGTGGTGTAGATCCGGGATTTACTTCAGTTGGAGCTTTCATTTGAGGTAATAGTCTGTTGTTTGGGCTTATGTACATATAGACCTATCTTATGTTTGAGTTTTGGGCATTTTGAGTATGGATGAGATCTATTTCGAGTTTGGAGTAGATCTGAGGTTGCTACCTCAGATCTAGGTTGGTAATAACCTAGAAAGTCATCGGAAAAAACATAGTATTAACATCGGAAAAAAAAACTTAAATTCAAAACAATACTAATTTTACCTCAAAGTCCGCATATGTCTTCCTCCTCTTCTTCACTCCCTAATCTCTCATCATCTGAATGACTATCTCTGAATTGCCTCTCGAACCCTCCCAAAGTAATTTTGGTTTCTTGTATTTTTATCAGCTTATCACCATTTACATGTGCAATAAATGGTATCCTTTTATCCATTTTTATATTTTCATACCTCATGTTATACACATATGATAGCTGAAATACAATGGATAAATAAACAAATATAAAAAAAACTTAAATAACTTATTTATGTTTGAAATAATCACATTTTAATCTAAAACAATGAATCGCTTACCAATAACAAAGTAATAGTCCCCGAGTAGTAGCATGTTTTGTCATCCCTTCTCCGTATATCCTTTCTAGTTCGTAGGTTGTCCAACCTTTACTTACACCAATAAATATTCGAGAAGTCCTTTACCAGAACTAACTTCTCAACCACTTTGACACTATTGGTACCACCAACCATTGATTCTATGAAGGTGTTAATGAATATAGTAAGAAAGTTCAGCCTGAATATCATATTCTTTTCTTCTGTACTTCTAATATGTTTCATATATGCTTCCCCATGAAACTTCTTGTCTACAAATTGTGCTTTCCATTCTTCCAGAATCTCATTACCAGTTTCACAGTAAGGCATTCTACTCAAATCATCCCCTTCCATTGGTAAAATCATCATCTTATGCACCAGCTCTTTTGTTATTTCAATGACTCCATTCTCCATCACAAGTCTATTGGTTACTGGATTGTATACATCTAGAAGATAATAGTTTAGCAACCCTGGTACAACATCCATATGTAAATTCAACAATGAACCAAATCCCATATCATAAATTGCTTTTTTTGTGCTGCTAACAACACTTTAACGACTACATTAATCCTACTTGGTGTCATTCTTGTAGGAAGCCTTCTTAAACCTGGTGAATAGTCTCTTTCAATTTTTCTGATCTTCTCATTCACATTGCTTACCTTCTTATTAGTTATTAGTTTCATTCATCTCTTTCCTTTACATTCTCTTTTACCATCTCGTTCAACCTTTTTTCCTCTAACATCACAAGCACCTTCTCAAGTTTTGTAGTTGACTTGAGTACCCTTTCTCTTATTAACACATTTAAGGGACGAAGTTTTTTTCTCTAAGGTTGATCTTGATCAGTGTTGACGTTGCTTCTTTTTCACACTCACACTAGGAATTACTATTGTATCTGCATTCACTGCATGATAAAGAACATTCTTACAACATTACATTAACATGCTAAAAGAATAACCATTTTCCAGTCTACTAACATTCTGAAGGAACATATCATACTTGGAAAAAACAAAATATAAAATATGTTGAAAACAAAAGAACCCACAAAAAATTTAAAAAATTAACCTATATTCCATTGGAACTTTACGGATTCCAAAAGAATAAAATTTCAACAACGCTTAGAATCCCCACAAAACATTAACACAAAACATGAAAACAAACAGAATCAAACAAATTATTAACAAAAAAAACCTAGAAAACGCTTCCAGTTTCATCAACATACACTTAAGAACACTCAATTTTGTTGAAATTACCCTTCATACCTTGAGTTGGAGAAACGAAATCGTCATCATCGTCAAGGTTCAACATCGTATTTTTCGTCTTTGTGAACTTAGACTTGAACGCACTCGACATGGTATTTCACATTCTTCAAGAATACGTATCACAAACAAACCCTAATGATCATTCTCAATATTCAAATGTCGCAAAGAAAATCGTTTATTATATGCAATACCTTCTCAAAATCTTGCTTGATCTTTGTTAATTCTAAACACTCATAACAAAAATAAGCTATGATAAAGATGATGATCGCTTTGAAGGTCTCCGTTAATTTGGGGATTTGATAATCTATTACAAAAAAAACTATATATTACCTAATTTGATGGAATGGTTTTCGTGCCCATTTAATAAATTATTTTAAATTATTATTTTTTATTAATTTTAAATGATAAAGAATTATTTAAATTAGGAAAAATACTTGGACCACAAAGTAGCCTTACATCCACTCAATACTTACAATCCACATTATAACCTAAACCTATATCTTGCCACGACAAACATGTGATTGTACCGCGGTCACATATCTTGCTCTACACCTGTCTCGTGTCCCGCCACTCGCCACGTTTCACTCTCCAAACGACACATGTCCTTGTGACTCACTTCATTTTCACATCATGTTACCACATCTTTGCGCCACATAGAGCCGGATTTTGACTGTTTGACTTTGACTTTGGTTGGCTTTCTAAAAATAGCAACGTACTTTTATCTCAACTTTAAACGACCATAATTTTCTTATATGAACTCCAATTTTGACGAACTCTATATCCACGGAATCGTCTCATCGCTTTCTTTCACAAATACCTAGCTAAACTAATGCAGAAAGTATAAAGATGTATGTATTACATCATCAAAACATCACCGTTTCACTAACTGAGTTCATCCTTAATCATATTTATAGCAGATACACACTATGAGGTTTTTGGGTCATTACAATTGTTGAATTTGTTGTAGGTTTGGAAAGGAACACGAGTTTGTCTGTTCTATGGGTTATTCTCATGACCCGCTTATAATTTATTGTGAGATTTTTATATGTTTCAGCTCATTGCAGTAATGCATACTTAGAGAAAACTTTCTCGTTGTACTAGGGTTTCGAGGGTTAGTTTACCTTCTGTAAATCTGAGAGAATGATGTTTTTTGTAATGAGGGTTTTAAATGTAATCTTATATCTATAAGAAAGTGGTTCATAGTGAATGAATTGATCAAGTTTGGAAAGTGTGTGTTTGTTATATTTTTAAAAAGATTGATTGAAATAAAAACCCTTATTTTCTTGTTGAATTTTTTCAAGAAAACAAAGATTTTAAAAGCATTAAAGAAAATGAAAATACCTAAAGTTTATTGTTTTCTACAAATAAAGAGGAAAAGAAGACGAGAGGAGAAGAAGAGAGTTGGTAGTTTCATTTTAGGGTTTAATTGATTCTAAAGGAGGAATATGAAGCTAAGAATTTGGGTATTTTAAAGTTTGAATTGGTAATTTTGTTTCAAAAGCGAGAAGGCGAAATTGGAGCAGGTGGACCGTAATTGGGATAAACTGAAAAAGGGTATAATTGTAAATTTTGATGTAAATGCAATTGGTGGAAAAAAAACAAAAGTAAGGAGCTTCGTAATAATTAATAACTTGTGTCCATAATAACTACTCTTTTTTATTATAATAGATAGATATAAAAAAAGAGGAATGAAATTAATTAAAGAGTTAAATTTATTGAATTTACACTATTAAATTGGTTGAATTGTAGGACATGTTTTACAAAGTAATCTCAAACTCGACTACAAACCCCATAAGGGACTAGGATTCCAAGTAAAAGGTCGCATAATCACTTGTAGTATATAAACATATCCAGACATCTTTTTAAGAATAGATAAATAAAAAATTTGTCATGTAGGTAAAATAGGCTTATGTAGTATTCCGGAAGCCTTAATTACAAACTTCATAGGATTGGAGTTTTGAACATAGTATTTGCATGACGCAAACCCCCTCAAGTTCCTGCATGCACGCGAGATTCCAATGTCTTCGATCTGGGAAAGCGTTCTTAAAACAACAATACAACTTACTTATATGTATATATTTAGTAATTAGTACTTGAACAAAGAAACAAGAAACAATTTGAACAAGACGTACATATGATCAAACATACATGTGGTGCGATATATGTTGGCACCTTAATTTATTTTGAACAATATACAGCTGATCAAATTCCGCAGTAGGATTTGATGGGGCACGTGGACCTCTTCCCTTCATCGGTGTAGTGATAGTAATGAAGGTACTTGTAGTGATCAAAGTCCTTAAACCGTTGAGGGTGGTCTTCATCAATGAGTTTCTGAGGTATCTCTATCTTCATATCCCTAATAAACGAAAATAGCCCCAATGAAAATCGCTCTTGGTTTCCCTCCAAAATCACCCTGTGACATGGTGCTTCGATTCTTCCATTTGTCCATGCCTAAGAGAATCAAAACACCTTAAATTTCATACATATGCATAATAACAGTGAGACTGGTTAGTATTATAGTATATCGATCGCTACCTACCATGCAAGCATCACCTGCCATGACTATGAACGATGAGGGTGCAGGATCAACATCGATCCAATGTCCGTCCTTAGTTTGTATCTGTAGACCCTTGACTTGTTCTTGATGAAGAATTGTCATGAGACTCTTATCAGTGTGAGGACGAAGGACTAGAGGATTTTCATCGTTCCCTTTAGGGCATTTGTACTTCATGAATCGCAGAACATGATTTGTTGACCCAAGGAGCGACTCGTAGTGTTCTTCTATTCCATAGCTTTTCGCTACCATCCGCAAAACTATCTGATTCAGTTCTGCTACAGCCTTGGAGAATATCAATGCACTTGTACTGAAAAAACCGTGAATCAAAAGTGATCTTCTATTCATTAGCTTTAAGACGTAAGATAAGAAACCTTAATTACCAGAAACTTTTATTTCCAGAAGGCCACATGAGTTTTGTGAATATTTCAACTGCTTCTTTGGTTGTTGCATTCTCAATACCTAAGCTTTCGTACATAGGCATAGCGGGAATTTGCCCAATGTAAGCATGATATGGTGCATCTGAAGTGTTTAGGACTTTGACTTCGGTAGGAAGATCAAATAGATCTCGTGATGCGTGGAAAATCATGTCGTCAAGCTCCTGTGTTACACCGTCGTACATGGCAATGAAAACACCGTGCTCTTCAAGAGCACGCATAGCTTGACTGCATGTTGTGATCCAAGAACTTGGTGTAGAGTTTAAGCTTTTCAAAGAGAAGTCGATAACGGAAAGCTTGGGCGCTGCCATTATTTCATCGACGTTGGATTGTGTCTATAATAGGATGTATTTTCCGTCTCCAAATCTTATTACTTTATATGGTTGGAAAACAGATTTTTTGTATATGTCATATTCCTCATATTAAGGTATTATTAGACTTTTTAATATGCACGTAATGTCGCAATCATACCTATTTTCATTTTAAATGAATGCACAATTTTTTGTGGATACTATTAATGCTTGGGTTTCGTGGAGTTATTTTCAAATGTGGGGCGGTTCCAATCGGACGAAAGTTTTGAATGTTAATGCGAGTTATCATGCATATAGTCAAATAATTGTCCCAATGAAACTTGAGATGGCAAAACTTGACCTTAGTTGTAGTAGGGTAAGTATAGGTAGGTATCGATTAATATGTTAGAAATTGAAATCAGTGGTTCTTGATCTGACGGGAACTGGAACCGCCATCAAGAACCGCCACACCGATTCCTTGGACTTTGTAATAGGTCCTAAAACAGCTTGGAACTGGTTCCGGTTCTGGATACTCGGCTTTTTTTTATATTTTATAATTGGTTATTTATAAATTTAGTAAGAAAGACAATGACATGAATTATTGGTTGGACGGAGGTATATATAGAGACGATGAAGTGGAAGTGGAAGTGGAGATATGCGAAATTGTTATTAACTATGTGTCTAGGGTTTGTATATCTTCTGCTTTTGAGTATGGTCGTTTATTAATCGGATAAAACCAAATTTAATTGGATAATTTGGATCGGGTTGTTTGGTTTAGATATTCATATTTTTAGATTCATCAAAACTGAATTATTATTTTTGGATTTGGATAGATTTTGATTTGTACACAATAACTGAATAATAATTTGTTCTTTATTTATTTATATAATTTATTTTAACATATATTTTTAATCATTTATAAACTTACTAAACAATTTTTTTTAAGAGTAAATTACATGAATGGTCCCTATAGTTT